GATGGTTGTTCAATAATCCTCATAATCCTCATAATCCTCATAATATCATAATAATCCCCCAGCCTAAGACGGGTTCTGTGACTGGTCCAGGCGGGAAAACCCAATACTAACCTGGACCTAAACCCGAATGGGAGAGGCAGTGAAATGATAAGGTACTAAGGTCCGGTGCGAAGGCGACGGGAGAGTCGCCGGTGTATCCATGATCCATCCCTCCAGCCGTTAGTTAGCCAGTTGTCCGTACCCTAAAAGCTTTTTGAGGCTGACCCGAACAAGCAGGCAGGCGGTCAGGCTCGGGCCCTTTCTGGACCCCTCGGGGTTCACCAACCAGCTCAGCTTGTTCAACTCCATTCGCCCCGAAGTGAAACCATTCTTCCCCCAACCTTGAAGTGGGATGATGCTTAAGGTAGTAGCGTCGAGACTTTGGTGGTTGTGAGTGAGAATGTCAGTGGTGGCCTGTGAAACCCATTACATCCTTAGCCCCTTTCAGTGAGGGTCTACCACCGAGCAAGCTGGTGACATGACTCAAGGCAATGAGTGTATTGTAGTAGCAATAACAGTGACAGTCACAGTCAAAGGAAGGAATGGAGGCGGGGATCATGATGAGCTCGGACAGCATCTTATATGAACCTCAGCTGACTGATCGTCATGTTAGTGAGAGTAAGTTAGTTAGTTAAGGGTCTAGTTGTCTAGTTCTAGTCTACTCGGTAGTCATCTGTCAATCTGGATTCCGGAAGAATGGCCCTGCCTTGGGGGTCCTATAAATAACTACTCGTAGTAGCTGGGAGAGCGGGCGGCAGTCGAGAGCCGCCGTTGGCGAGCGGGTAAACGCCTGGGACTATCTTTAGAATAATCTTCTGCATCACCCGCGTGTTCCTTCCATTCACCTTCCACCCTATCCATTCATCCCATCATCAACAACTTTCAGCTTCATCAGCTTCATCAGCTTCACCATCATCGTTACCATTGTCCTAATTGTTACCCACTTATTCTCTCAACTCCAATTGCTGTTGACTTACCTGGAGCCGCACTCTTTGTTTCCCGAAGGTTGGTTATACCTGAGGCCATCCTTGCATCGGCTGCCTGACTGCCTGGCTTGTCTGGCTGCTGCTGCTGCTGCTTGTCTGGCCTGTTTCTCTTTTACTCTTTCTCTCGTTTTGAGCCACACAAAGCCACTCCCTCCCATTCCCTCCCACTCCCACTTTCCTTTGCGCGCCGCCCCCCCTTTGTCTTTACCGTCACACTGGCTTGTCTCATTCACATCGATATCCACATTAACCCCCCCATCCACTGTTTCCCCCAATTCTCAAACTTAACTCTCTTCTTACTGCATCTTTCCCCCCCCTCCTCCCCTCCCCCCCCAGTCCCCTCCCTCCCAAAAATAGCGCGCTCATTCCCAATCTCACCACACTTACTTACCCTTACCTTTTCTACCTTCCCTGATCTTCGTCATTCGTTCTTCTTCCTCTTTGTAGAAGTGGTTTCGAGGCTTCCCTATTTCTTACCTCTCGGGATATCGGTAAAAATTAATAATAATTTTCAACCTGACCGCGACCTGGCTCTCTGGTCGTCGCTCTCTTTCCTATCTTTCCCTTTTTCCTATTATTATTTTTTCTTATCTCTTCGCGTTCTGGAAATACCTTCATCGGGCGGCGCTTCCTTGAGTTTCAGTTCGCGCCGCTATTCGATTCGGACGAACTATTACTCCACTTGGCATATTTGTGATTGACCATTGTCGCCAGTGCCGCATAAACGCGCCTACATCCCTCATGGGTCGGAGAAAGATCGAGATTAAGGCGATCAAGGATGACCGCAATCGCTCAGTGTAGGTCTTTCCTGTGCAGCTTCTTGATGAGTTTGGGGTGATGGTATCACCACTATTTGCTAATCTAACTGACTGACATTTCTGTCGGTTCCCAGGACCTTTCTTAAGCGGAAGGGCGGTCTCTTCAAGAAGGCACATGAGCTTGCGGTTCTTTGTTCGGTCGATGTCGCTGTCATCATTTTTGGTCACAACAAGAAGCTATATGAATTTTCGTCCTGTGACATGCGAGAGACGCTCGCTCGATATCAATATGTGCGGTGGGCCCTCAGATTCTGACAACTCGTTGCTGCAGCTAACGCGACCCATTTCTTGCAGTTTGGACCTCCCCATGAACACAAAGGCCCGGAAGACTTTAACGGTAAACGCGACGATGACGACGACGAAGATGAGACGACACCCGCCCCCGAAGACATTCATCCGACGCCTCCGAATCCTCCCATGATCCCCGCCCATATTCCTGGTCATCCTGGCTTCCAACATGTCAATCACGCCCCGTCAGCTTCTCCACCCATCCCCAACGGGATGCCCTTTGATCCTCGTCATGGTACCCCTCAACCACAAGGTATCTCGAGACCGTCGTCAAGGAATCATCTGCGTCGCGTCAGCTCTAACATCGGACCTCAACAACATCATGCCACACCTCCGCCGCCTCCGCCGCCACCGCAGAACGGTTTCACGTACATGCCTAATCCATCCGTCTATAATCCAGCAGTTGCCCATCCCATGGCTCAACCTCCTCGTCCCGGTCAGTTTGCGCATTATGGCCCACCGGGGCCGCACCATCAGCCCGGGCCACCCCAGCATCAGCATCAGCATCCGCCCATGCCACCGCAAGCAATGCCACCGCATTCGATGGCGCCTCAATCGATGCCGCAGCACCTCGCACCGCATCCACATCCACATGCCATGACACCGCAACCACCACCCATGGCTATATCGCAGGCGCCGCATCACCCACCCGTACCACAGGTCGCCCAAGCATTTCTCACAGAACAAGGTCGAGCTTCCATGCCCCCAACATTTGCACAGCATGAGCCGCAACCGCAACCGCAACCGCCGCGGACGGTATCACTTCCCGAAGCGACCGCTGCGGAGCAGATGCCGGGCCCTCTGAAGGCAGAGGGAAGTCCTTCGCCTCCTCATCAAAGATCTCTATCGTCTAAGTCGCGCAGTATCTTCACCCCTATCGACGACCGCGGCTCAGTCCTAGCGCGTCACTTTGGTGTAGGCCCGCCCACATGTGAGCCGGGAGAAAATGCCCACCTCAAGGCGGAAGTTCCGCCGCTGGGAAATTCCACTGATGTAAAGCCACCCAAGCCACTTGCAGGGAAGGCCGGGAAAGCAGGGAAGGCCGGGAAGGTGCCACCACCGCCTCGAGCGGCAACGGAAACCCCACGCCCCCAGCCTGTAGCGGAACTAAAGCCACCGGCACGAACCAACAACGGCCAAATACCCCCAAAGCGCCCGCAACTGAAGGTGCAGATCCCAAGCGAGAATTCAGATAGAGGCAGTGCGACAGGCGAATCGTCCTCACGCGACTCGGCGGGTAATAAGACATTGACGCCGGCAAAAGCCAATCCAGATACTAGTCATTCGGGCGTGGTTCTTCCTCCGCCGTCACCATCCGCTGGCGCGATCCTTAGCGCGGGGGCCCAGGGACCACCGAACCCGTTTGCCAGACCACCACCGCCTCCCGGCCCGGCCGCGCAGAACAATGCCGCCTACAACAATAACAGCAATATTGACACGCCAATCTCGGCTCTGCCCAGTCGATTTGTTTCAGACGCACTGCTACCATCACCTTCCAGCTTTTTCCCCGAATGGGGATTCGGTCGCTCGGGTCCGGACAGCAATATGCTCCCAAGCCCTTTGACGTTCCCGACCCCGGCCGTGCAGACCGGACCTGGCTTCGGACGTGAAGACAACGATCAAGATAAGAAGCGCAAAAGCCCCGACAGCGGGCCGAGCGCTGAAGGGGTGATGAAAAAGCCGAAGACGTAAATTTTGGAACTTTGCGAGTTGTTGCGCATCACCAAGTTGACGGTCTCCCCCTATCTCATTGGCTCTGTTGTCTCTTCTTATCCCATGTTTTGAATAATGGCATTTACATGGCGTTAGTGAATTTACTTGTCAGGGGAGGAAGTTTTGGGCAATCCGTTTGTCGAAGTTAGTGTGTGTGTGTGGATGTTGTGTGTCTGTCACTCTCCTTTGTTTTAGGGTTGTCTTTTGCGGAACAACTTTATACCCCTTTTCCTTTAGTATCTGTCATCGTTCTCACTTTCCCTTTTTGTTTTGTCTAGCTGGGCTATATACTGTGTGGGTATTGCTTCGCTTTGCTATTGAGACCCTCAGATCTCCAACACACCTACTCCGCGGCGTACTTTCCTCACCCTGTGATTCTCCAGTTCGTTCGTCTCTGGAAACCGAGGGCGGAAAGCTTAAAAAGCCCCCCCCCCGGCGCGCATTGCCTCTTCCTTCCTTTCTGTGCCCTCTTAACTCTAATTCTTCTTTGTGTTGTTATCTTGGATTGCACCCGAGGGCGATAGTGCTGGTGATGGTGATCGGTGATCGGTGATCTCTTTCTTTTCTTTATGTCCAGTATTTTTTTTTCCATTTTCAATTTTTCCCTTATTTACTTTTTTTTTATTTTGTGTCAAAGAATGTATATAAAAGGTGGGGGTCTAGCTGGATATGGATATGTTTGATTAGGAAAGTGAAATAATTTGATCTCGCTTGATGCATAATCCACACCCATTTCCATTTTCAATCATGACTGGTCATATCAGATTCAGTGGTGCTGGATATCACAAGTATATGTGGTTTGTAGATGGTGAGTAGCACTCGCACATGGAGTAAAGTAAGTGCTGCCTGCGTATGCTGCCGCTTTTTTCTTGAAAGGCTCGCAATGCAATGCAATACAATGCAAACAACGCAATGAGGAAGGAAAAGAATCCCACCTCCCCCTCCCCCGGGCATTTGAAGTATATATGCCAATTTTGCCCTGAAATTCGGTCTTGGGGAAGAAGGGGAGAGAGGGGGACAATGGGAATATGTAGACATTATGAAGTAGAAAAGATATATGCTTCAACTTCTCCGGAGTTGAGAATTATTATCCTTGAGCATTTGCTCCATCCCGCTGGGATTTGAGAGCCAATAAAGGACAAGGAACGGGTCCACACTATACCTCCTCCTTCGGCTGGGGTTCGCCGTGTTGTTGCTTCTGCTGGGCCTCTAGGACGGCCTTGCGGGCTTTCTCCTGCTCCTCCAGGCCGGTCTTCGCGATGGTGTGGGCCTTGCTCAAGGTGACGGGGCGGACGAGCAGGCTCAGGGCCAGGCCGAGGGCGGCGATGGCACAGTAGAAGATCCACATGCGGCTGAAGGCGGTGGTGTAGGCGTCGAGGACGACCTGGCGCTGGGCCTTGGGCAGGGAGCGCAGGAGATCGCCCTGGGATCCACTGAAGGAGGAGGCGATGGCGTGGGCGTTGTCGGCTCCGACGGCGGCAGCGATCTGGGGCATGCGGCTGGCGAAGACATTCTGGTAGATGACGGTGCCAAGGACGATGGAGATGGCGGCGGAGACCTGGCGCATGAAGCCGAAGGTGGCCGTGCCGGCGGCCATGTCACTGGGGTGGATGTTGGCCTGCAGGGCGACGAGCGGGGACTGGAAGAGCGGGCCCGTGCCGATACCGCCGATGATCTGATAGATGATGATGCGCGGCCAGCTAGCGTAGGCCTTGAGGTCGATGAAGAGGCCGTAGCCGATCGTCATGAGGAGGAGACCGCCGGTGATGAGCTCGCGGTAGCGGCCGGTCTTCTTGATGACGACGCCCGTGGCCGCGGAGAAGATGGAGAGGCTGAGCACGGTGGGGAGGACGTAGACACCGCTGAGAATCGGGGACGCCAGAAGCACCGTCTGGAAGTAGAGCGGGAGGTAGTAGGACCCGGAGATGAAGACGAAGCTGTGGCAGAAATTGATCAGGAGCATGAGCACGTTGTGGAAGTTGTTGAACAGCCGGAGAGGGATCACTGGATAGCGCGCGATCTTCCACTCATTGATGAAGGCGACGACCCACGTCACGATTCCGAAGATGATTAAGCAGATCACCGTGGCCGACGCCCAGGGGTAGCTGACGCCGCCATATTCGAGGCCGAAGAGGAACATGAGCGTGCCGCCGATCATGAGGAAGGTGCCCGACCAGTCGATAGAGCGGAGTCCTGCAAGAAGGGGCACTTTGCTGGCTTCGATCTTGAGGAAGAATATGAGGATGACGAGCGAGAAGCCTCCGATAGGTACTGAAAATCAGGTGTTAGCGTGGATATGGATTGATTTGCATAAGCAATTGAAAGACCTACAGTTGATGTAGAAGCACCACCGCCAGGTTACACTGGTGGTGAAAGCACCTCCGATAATAGGACCCAGGGCCCCTGCAATGGCCCAGGTCGACCCAAAAATGCCGTAGTACATCGGACGTTCCCTGCAAACAGTCAGTCTACTAAGCCGGCCAAGCCCTCCGGAGGGTTGCTGCTGGAATGCCCAAGGCGAGGTTATACTAACCGAACACTGAACAGATCCGTCACGCAAATGTTAGCTAGAACGATGATTCCACCCCCGCCAACGCCCTGAATCGCTCTGCCGGCGATGATCATGGGCAGGTTCACTGCCAACGCGCAGATGAGACTGCCCACCAAGAACAAGAAATTGGCAATCAGGATGATCTTTTTCCGGCCCCAGACATCACTGATCTTACCCCAGAGGGGAACACAGGCGGCGTTCGCCAGCATGTAGGAGGACGCAATCCATGAGTACCCACCCTCCGATGCATGGAAGTGGTTGGCAATAGTGGGGAGTGCTGTCGAGACAATTGTCTATGAAGCGAGGCACCAGAAAGTCAGTAGACTGGCGATCAAGACCCAGGGATCCAGAAGACCTTACCATGTCCAGAGCTGCCAAGAACAGAGCCAACTATATGTGACATTAGCGTGCTGTCACAATGTCCGAGCCGGAGTGGATAGTAAAGTGGAGAGAGAGATGGATTAACATACACAAAGAGCGGTCATAACGACCAAGATCTTCTTCTTCCCCAGTTTCTGTGCCTGAGAGGGCACGCGATCCAGCGGGGCGCTAGCAGCAGCCACAGCAGCCTCATCCTCTAGCGTTCCATCATGATGGCCTTTCTCTGTTCCGACGGGGATTTGTTCATGCGAGGCTGTTCGTGAGGGGGGCCTGACAGCGTCAGGCTTCTCCGACCCAGCTCTGTAGGAAGATGAGCTTGTTTCGGATGGTGACATGCTCTCCGCAATCATCGGACCCTTGTCCACTGCAGTCTCCTCAACGTGAGGGTGTTGATGACCCGTCATGACTTAGTGTATAATATCCAAATTCGACAAAAGTAGACGGGAGAGAACCTGAAGAACGAGAGAGAGAGAGAGAGAAAGGAAAAGAGGGGGAAAAGAACCGAGGTTTTTTTTTGGCCGCTCTCTTTTTTTCTCTTGAGTTGGATTGGAAGGACAGAGCAGAGACCGCAGAGCAAACCGGGTTGTTTCCCTTTAGTGTTGACGATGGCGGGCGAACCCCGACGGTTGCAGCAAAACTTTGGGGTTTGATTTAGCGGGTGCTCCCAGGCCTGTTTTTCTTTCTTTTCTAGAACTGTGGCGCGTGTCGAAGTTAGCTAAGTATGAGATAATGAGAGACAGTCTCAAGTCAATTTTAGATTGCTCAGCATTTTAGCTCTAAAAGCAAAAGCAACTAAGCTACCACCTTTTGTTTTTCTTTTCTTTTTTGCTGATCCTATTTACGTACTCCGTATTATCTTTGAGACCGAGACCGAGACCGAGACTTTTCGCACTTTAGGCGTCGGAGATAAGGTCGGCTTTGTGGTCCTCAACCCCCGAAAAGGGTAACTTAAGAGATGAGAACAGAAGGGAAAAAAAAAGGGCCTCGACTTTGGAGCGGTCCCTAAATTGAATTTTGGTTCCAGTTGGAGTCATCATCACCATCATCCTCTTCTTCGGGTTGGAACGTGGATCGTCTTTTTATACAATAACTTCTTACCATTGGGTCCGCAAGCGACTAGTATAGAAGAGAGGGGGGGAAAAAAAGTCAGCTGCAGGGCGGAGAATTCCAGTCAACCCCACGAGGCTTGGTTGATTTCCATCTTCATCTTCTCGGACTGTCGGACTTTTTGCCCGCCGACGCCGAGCTTTCTGATGAGTCGATGAGATGAGTCGATGACTTGATGATTTGATACAAACCACCTGCAAACTGTATGCCTGCCTGCCCAACAAAACCGACTGGCTCTCACCGCATAGACTATCCGTGACGGTACAGGTCATAGCCATAGATAGCCTGGAGCCCGGAGCTGACTGCCTTGTGCAAGGCCGAGATCCAGACTCCAGACTCCATCACCGCCCGATGTTCTAGGCAGGTGAACTGTATACTAGTCACTCCCGTCTGGACAAGAAGTACTGTACAGTACCTGGCACTTCTCTCATAAAATCAAACATTACCTAGGAATGTTCTTCACAAAGAAAAAATAATCTCTTCTTAGCCCACACCCCCTCTATCACCATGTCCATGTATGCCACTGGAAGAGAAATAAATAGGGTATATAATGTACAATGACGGACACATCATGAAAAGAGTGCGATAATCGATCATCTCCACCTTTACTATGAAATCACCCCCAACTCCACGCCTTCCATCTAATCCTGTAACTGAAGAATCTCTGCAACACGGTAACATATCACACACACGCGTCAGCAATCTGTCGGTTGCAATACCGCTTTTTTTTTCTGTCTTCGTGGGGGGCTGCGTGCGCACTTACCTGTCAAAAACTCCTCGAAGCTCACCGTAATATACCCATCCCGATCGTCGTCATACCGTTTGAACACGTCGGTCATGCGACGCAGACTAATGCAGGCCTGCACAAACAGGTCAAAACTCATGCCATGTTTGCCATAGGTGTGCCCGTTCATCTGCCGCCCCTTGCTCTCGAAGGTGATGAACATGACCTGCACGAATCCCGGGCTGAGGCGGTACCCGAAAGCGACCAGCGCGTTCTCGAACTCGGGCAGGCTAATCCGTCCGCTCCGGTCCACGTCGAACCGATCGAAGAGCTCCCGCCACGCCGCCAGATAGCGCCAGAGGGAGACGAACTCGTCGAACGAGATCGTCCCGCTGCTGTTGCGGTCGAACATGCGGATCATCATCTTGACCGTCTTGGGGTGGAACGAGGTGTAATCGCCGTTCACCAGTGCAGAGCCCAGCTCCAGCTCCGTCAGCGCCCCGGAGTGCGAGGTGTTGGCGGCGCGGAACAGGGGGTACAGCTGCTGTGGGTCATCGTCGGGGACCGAGAGTGGAGGAGGGTGTGGGGATTGCGGTGGACGCGACGACGGAGGAGGACGATTGCGCACGGGCTGGGAGGGAGGTGGCCCAAAGCCGTAGTTCTGGGGAGGGGGCGAGGGGTGTAATGGGTGCGGACGCTGTTGAACAGGAACGGTCGGCGATCGTCCGCCGTGGTGAGTCTGTTGGGCAGGCGCTGGGTAGCGCTGCGGGTTGGCGCTCGGCGCTCCGGACACTGGCACGCGCGGAGGCACTCCGCTGGGGGAATGGTGAGAAGACTGTCGTGGGGGTCGTGGGTGAGCTGAGCTGCTCGTCTGCATAGCACCGAGCATCTGCGCAACCTGTTGTCGTTCGCCTCAAGTCAGTAGCTGCGGGGTAGAGAAGTAGATCAACCTGCATCGTCCGGGTTCCTGCGTACCTGCTCGGGCTCTGCGTGACTGTGCTCATCATCCTCACATATTAGCGACAGTTGCCCAATGTTTCTGGCGGGCTTATCTTGGTTCTCAACTCACGCTGGCAGCGCATCTGGATTGTAGGACTGATTGTACGCCATGGCGGCAAAGGCTGACTGACGTAAGGGCGGCGGGCGCAATCCGAGCGACAGGCGTCAAAACGGGCAGCGTAGGTTTGAATTGACCCAATCCTCCAAGCACGACCAGAAGGTGAGGTAAGATATTTAGTTGTAAAGAATTTTGGAGTGGAAGGCAAGGACCGAAAGGAGTTCGGGGAGAGAAAGGAATTATTAGGCTTTGGCCATGCAGTTAGTTGTTAAGTTAGCGACCAGATTCGTTTTTGCGGACCTGCAGAGCGGAGCCGTGGGGCGGCGGTTTAGCAGGAATCGCCAACCGAATTCAACCATAAAAGGGGGCAGAAGAACGCGGTACACATACTCATAGGTACTCAGTAGTAGAAAGTCCGTTTAATGGGCGCAGATGATCCGTCAACCACTCTAAAGAGAAGAAAAGAATTCAAACCAGTTGCCTTCTGCACAAGCAAGGTTCATTGGCTTGACCTTTGTCACTGAAGGGGGGTGAAGGTTAAAACTGCGAGCGGAACGAAGGCAGATCAGGCCGACTGAAAGAAACTCAGCCCTATATCCGACACAGCTTATTTTTGAAGCGGTTGGCCCACGGGTTCCATTCCAATTTGTGGTGGATCCCACGCAAAAGAAAAAGGCATCTGTGCTACTTCTGAATTCTATACAAACTAGGATTGAGTCGCTGAGAGGCTGTGTTCAGAGACAGTGGTTCAGAAGATTAAAGACTTCGTGTCAAAGAATGCTCAGCCTTGCGATGTCATTCGCAGAGGCCACAAGACCGGGAAGCCTAGGCGCCGTCACGAACCTCCGACCAACTGCTCCAGCCCCTCCTTCTGTTCATTCAAAATAGACGCGATCTCGTTCCAAGCAATGTTCTGAAACTGCTGTCCTTCCGCTCCCGTTGTCAACGCGATCGATTCGCTGTTCTTTGTTAATAAGCACCCTGTAACCGTGGACAGGTCCGAGGTAGACTCACTCTAGATAACCATCGTTTCTCCAACACTTCCCATGAGACTCCACCCCTTGGTAAGTGGCACTCACCAGCGATCGGCTGCCTTGCTCAGCTGTGCGCGCAAAGAGTTTATACGCCAGCCAAGACAGCCATCGCTCGTAAAATCTACGATACTGCCGCCCGAGTGACGAGGCACAAAACCCGGGACTTACGGAGTTGATGATCACGGGCACCGTCCCGTCTTCCTGGCGAACCATACCGGCAGCCATCTTGAGCATATACTCGAGCAAAAGCTTGGAGATCCCGTACTGCCGGCGGCCTATGAAAATGCGGGGATCGTTCAGATGCTTGAGTAACGGCTCTTCCGTTCGGAGGCTCTGCGCCTTGACCCGAACGAACTGTTGGCTGGAGACCACTGTAAGATGTGTTGGCTGCGTCGGTGTCGAACTGCGTCTCAGCTTGGGGAGGAGGAGGAATGCCAGTAGGGATGTCGAGAGAGTGTTGACCTGCAGCGTCTCCTCCCATCCTTCCGGCGATACAGTGTAGTCTCGATTCCATAGACCCGCGTTGAGGATTACAATATCCAACTGGTCCACTTCGTTGTTCACACGCTCGGCGAAGCTCTTGACGCTCTGGAAGCTGTTCATCTCCAGCTGCCACACTTGCACCACACCCGGTCTATCGGTGCGTCGTTCAAGCTCCGCCTTGGTCGCTTGGCCTTTTTGCAGGTTACGACTGCCTATGATGAGTGAGTCCACGCCCAGGCTGAGGAGCTTGACAGCTGCCTCGAATCCCAGTCCGGATGTTGCTCCAGTCAGAAGCACCGTCTTCCCTGCGAACGACACCTCGCTGGGATCGACCGGGATATTGCGTCGCGACCGACGTAGCCGAAATAGCCCTGCCATGACGAATGTGAAAAGACACAGCAGTATGGCCTTCGAGGTCGACATTATACGGCCGAGGAGGACGTTGCCAAGGTCTCGAACAAGGCTGGTGTAGCAGATCCAACCGATTCAAATTGAGCAGGTTCGCGTAGTGATTTCCAGGACGTGGCCGTCTCAAAGCTGATGATTAGCCGCGACGACTGGACGTTGGTGATAGCTGCCAGCTGAATTAAGCGTATTGCTAAAGCCGGGTCCGGTGTCTGGGCCGGCCCCGCTGAATCTCCCCGAGACGAACAAGATGATGGAGACTGCTGGAGCAGGAAACGAATACGAGAGCGAGGGTGCGCAAGCTCTGCAGCAAAGTCCGAGCAAGGATGGGATGGATCAAGCGGGGCTTCTGCAACTGCGATCCGCCCCCCTGACAAATTGGGGTGGTCGATTTGCCTTTGTGAGGCTCTGCCTGTAATCCATGCAAATGGGACAGAGGAGGTGCAAATTGCTCACGTAAGGCTGGGGTAATCGATCAGAGCTAACAAGAAGTACCTGAGTAAATCTACAAAATACAATTTCCGTCGCACCGCCCTCAAGTGACTTCCCGAGACAATGCTGCAAGATGGCGAGATCCAGACTGGAATTGAAGTCATCGATCGGGGATGACAAACAATGCAAACATGCGGAGTAAAGACATGTGTGGGCACGCTCGGCGGCGGGTGATTTCTCATCAATCGATTATTGAGAGATTTAGTTAATCGGTGGTGATACAACCATTGTGGTAGCTGCCTGTCTGCTTGCCTCAGATTCTGGAAAGAACCGAGTAAGTCAACTTGGAGACTTGCACTCTGGCTGCTTCACTTCACCAACCTAGTTCTCATCGATTCTAATTACAGCTTTTTGCCTAATCTCCATTATCCATACGACAAACATTATTATAGACGAGGTTGTACTCAGTAGGTCAACCCGTATCTCCGCCCAGAAAACCACCCGAGCCACATCTCTAAATTCAGGATCCAGGTTGAGGCGTTGGAGATGGGCTCGGCTGAGCAAGGGAGCGAGACTCCCAGAGACGGCCGGACATGGCGTAACTACTTCCCTAAAGGCGACCTTTGGGTGTTCGGATACGGGTAAGCCTAGCCGTTCAGCGGCCGCAGGATGATCCCTGGAAACAACAACCAGTGGCTACAACCAGTGGCTGATGCAGGGCAGGAGTTTGATCTGGAAGCCACCGCCGCATTACGGTAAGTAGAGCATATGTCCATGATACTAGGAGTGTCTCATTTCCATTCATAGTGCAGATAGGCTAATCTCTGCTAGACCAACGGGTTCCCGGCTACATCAATGGCTATGTGCGGCGCTTCTGGCAGGTTTGTCGATGCATATCTCTTGCCTGGCGGTTGTGATGATTGTGTTTCTCAATGTGCAGATAAACTTACTGGCGATGTCAATTAGGCAAGGTGGGCCAAGCTATTCTTGAGAGATGACATGTCAGGGCTGACAGGCCGCGTCTAGTACCGACCATCGTGGCACTCCAGAGAACCCTGGACGAGTTGTGACAGTGATCGAACGGGAGTTCTGGGAAACGCTGGATGATCCGGTATGTCTTCTCGGTATCTTCAGCGGCCGCAATCGGCCAGCTATAACCATGAAATTCTGTTTGCTGCCAATCTGCCTATTTGAGATGGTTCACTCACAGTTTGAAACAGCTGGCGCACCTTGAAAGCTCACCGACGGCCACGGTTTGGGGTGCTGCATATCATATCCCTGCTTCCCATGCTGAGGAGGTACACGATTATCTCGATGTCAGAGAAATCGATGGTTACACCGTCCATTACACCCCTTTCCATCCCATCGATACCCGTAAGGAGCCAAACGCAGAAGAATCAACATCATCTCCAATCGTGTGTATGGTCTACATCGGTCAACCAACCAATCCGCAGTTTTTGCGGGATCCAGCCCGGCGAGAGCAACAAGATGTGGCCGAGGTGATAAGTCGCAGTCAGGGACAGAGTGGTAAAAACACTGAATACCTGTATCTCTTGGAGAAGTCGCTTGACGGACTCGGGCTGGGGAGTGCCGATGTGCACGTTACTGATCTGGTGCGACGGGTCAAAGCCCTCGAGGGCGTGGAAGAAGCGGCGGCAGAGGAGGCCAAGGCGGAACGGGATATAGAGGAGGCTCTCCATCCATCCAAAGCAGAGGCTCAGCAATGATTTCCACCTGCTGAATAGGCCCATTCGACCCGTGTTGTGTCAATGAGCTGTATCATTGCTGTTGCTGCTGCTGTATCCTTGGAGTGTTTCTGGCTTATGGCAGATAGACCGAATTAGAACATTCTAGGTAGAAAAGATCATCTTAACTTCTTTAAAGGTGTTATGGGGGTTTATGGGGCAAAGAAAGCGTTGCAGTAAGAGAGTGTCGAGGGTGGGTGAGGCGTGCCTCCCACGCTAGCTGCAAACCCGCTGGTCTTACGCAAGCAGGCGATAAGGACAAAAGGAGGGTCTTTCCCGTATGATCAAGCGAGACCAGAGGATGTGGTGCAGTGATTATCCAGGCCCGATTCATTGTTGAGCCGGGCTATCTGGTGTGAGGATGTGATGTATGCAAGTAGACTAGCTTTCCCAGCCAAGGAATCCTGCAAGATCGACCAGCAGTCAGTATACCGTTAGAAACTTGCAGACAGAGACAGGCCGATCATTCTGCATTCAGCTGAGGCTAGGGAGACGCGGTCTCTCCCTGCGCTCAATTTGTTCGATCGTGCATTGCGATTGATTGCTCGTGCTTCCGACAATCCCCAGTTCCAGGATGATGATGAAGAACCACTGCTGTCACCTGCACCTGGTACTAATGAAGAAATCCTTCCTTGTTGGGCAAAAGTGTCACAAACAAACCAAACCCTGAGGAGTCGCAATCTGCATGCTCGCTCCAAAGGTCCTTATCCAGACGATTTGCAGATCCGCACTGAATGCGCCATCATGGATGTGTACTGTACATACAGTACGAGTATTGAGTGGTAATTTCGGCCCCTCCTTCCAGGTACCAATGAGGGGTGGAATATGGAGGAGGTCACTGCCGGTGATGAGCCGGTGATGAATCTCTTAGCGTCTCCGAGGTTCACAGGTTGCGCATTTGCCTCCCCCTCATTCATAACTTACCTTACCTACCTTCAGTCTCTCGCTTGTTATGAGTAACTTACTGAGTACCTTTGAAATGAGGTGCTGTACAATACGGATTACTGCTCAGCTCTTTCAGCTCCTTCAGCTCCACTATCTATTGCCTCTTCTAGCTCTCTCCCAACTCTCACCAATTCAGCCTGTACTGTATGTTAACTTACTGGACATCAGTCATCACCAGTTAGTCACAATTACCCCTCCCCCTCCCCTCCCCCCGGCCACTTCTGGACCACTTGCATATCCCTAGCTCTCTCAGAACAAAAAGAAAAGAAAAGTGAAAACAAAACACAAAAAGAAAAGAAACGGGTAAAAAAGAAAAGAAACCTACTGAAAAGACAAACACTGCTCTTTTGCATTTGGACCAATTCTGCCGCGGTGTCAGACTACACCACCACCTTAACTTACTACCTACTGTATTATTACTACTACTTTCACTCAGCCCTTCCTCTCCCCTCAGGCTCCCTCTCTCCCTCCCCCCCCCCCCCGCTTTAACCCAGCCGCGTTGTCCGTCCTGTCCTGTCCTGTCCTGTTCTCTCCCTCTCCCTCTCCCTCTCCCCTCGGCCAACTCGCGCTTGCTGCATCTGCCCACTTTGCTGACCGCAGTCTTTTTTCGCCAGGAACAAAATCCTCCTTCTTCCACTCCCCTCCTTAATTTTTTTCCTTCAACTCTCTTCGTTGAATCTCTCCCCATCTAGGTTTAACAGACGAGTAGTCTTGCCAAGGTATGTGTCTTCTCGTTTTTGTTCAGAGCATCCCTCGGAGCGATTATCGGCAGTCATCCTCATATCTGGCCAAACCGGGTCGGAGGGGATCTTCTGCAGAGTTCCCTCGCACCAAAGGCACACTGTCGCAAGCACGCTCGCTTTCCACTGTTTTTTATTCGTTCACATCCGACTCTGATTTTACATCCTCGTGCAAAGTTCCTGTGGTGTGAAAGCAGCGTTAAACACCATCCCAAGCATCTCGACTCTGCGCTCTACCTCGGTGCTCCTGATTCCTCGGTACTAACCCAATATTCGCGCAGAACCCTACTTCTCCCTCCTCAAAATGTCTAAGCTCTTTGTTGGGTAAGTTTGCACCATTTCATGTATCTGGCTTCCACAATCAGATAGGACTAACTCAGCATAGTGGCCTGGCCTGGCACACCACTGATGAAACCCTCCGCCAAGGTTTCCAGGACTTCGGAGTCGTCGAGGAAGCCGTGGGTGTCCCCTTTTCTGCGCTAATGTGAGCCGCAGCATCTAATCAAATTGTTCTCAGGTCGTTGTCAAGGACCATGATACCAACCGCAGCCGTGGTTTCGGATTCGTCCGGTTCGCAACCGATGAGGATGCCGACAAGGCTATGGAGGCCATGAACAACCAGGAGTCAGTAACCTCTCCTCTTTCCCCTCGCCCTTTTTTGACCTAGTACTCATCCTCAACAGATTCGATGGTCGGGTTATCCGAGTCGACAAGGCTTCGGAGCGGCCTCGCGGCGGCGCTGGAGGTGGCGGTTTCCACGGCCGAGGTGGCTACAACCAGCGTGAAGGAGGCAATGGAGGTTACCGTGGTGGTTACGGTTCGTCATCCATCCTCCGCTCGACGTGGTCTCGAAGTATCAGCTAACCCAGATTACAGGTGGCGGCGGTGGCTATGGCGGCGGTGGTAGTAAGTCTAAGCTTCTCTTGACATTCGCCTCACAGTCTCACTGATGAAAAGATTACTAGACTGGCGTAGCCCCCAGCAGCAATCCTACGACTCGAACCAGAATGCTTGATTGCCTGCGCCGTGCATGTCGACCCCCAGATGTCTTGCCCCCTCTCTCCTTCCCTTTGACCCTATTTATTCCATGCAAACCCTGCTATTAGTCCCCAGGGGTTTTCAGGCAGGGATGTGAATACGAAGGAACGAAGTCCCGAATCTGTTATGACGGTTACCCAAGAATGACTGGAACGATCACTGCCCCTGTTATGCTCCCTTTCTCTTCTTTTGAGGCCTCATCTCTGCTGTTCTGCCCTGGCTGTCTCTCAATCCGGACCCTCCCCCTTTTGCGGTTGCTCTCTTACATCGATGTAATTTGGCCATTATGGGAACTTGATCTTCTGAGCCGATCGTGAGAAATTGCAGAATTGTTGTGCTTCATAAAACTTAAAAAAACGCAGGTTTATCTCGGTGGGACACCCCTCAGCTGAGGCAGCCCACCTCCTCCGAAGCTACTAGAGTTTTAAAGTCTTGAAGGGAAGGTATAGTAACCACGGCAGCGAACCGAACGCAGACAGAACAAGAATTTGACGTGAAACAAGCTGCTAACTATCCCTGGGAGCTATTATGCAGGGCTCGATGCGTATCGACTCACGGGCATCGCGCAAGTCAGCCGCGGTTAGCATCACACACAGGCCAGTCGACTTGACGACGCTGTCCAGATGGGAACGAGGGAAAATGCAGAGCAGATCTGAAACTATGGAAGATTCTTTTCAAGGACCCTTGATGATAGCGCCCAGCAAGAGATCTGCCTACTGTGGAGTAGTGTAGACCTCTCGGCAGGACGAGCAGTATTGAGGAGCGTGGTTGGGGGAGCAGAGTACGGTTTGGTGGGTAGGTCTGTTGATCGGCATGGTCTTATGTTTTTGGGGTCTGTGTGAAGTCAATGCATACTCGACATTTTCAGGAGTGCACGCTTGGACAGTCTCTTGGAATTATCATATTCATTGGCAAACTATAATGTGGTGGGCATGCCTCGGCTGCGAAATGCTTACCATGCCTATGAGACTTGTCCATTATGTCACAACAATGTTGCCATGTGTCGACATGTTAAGAACAGATTACACAATCATACACAGTACATATCAGAAAATATTGAGAAACAAAAAATCAAAGTAGAAATCATCACTAGTAGTGAGACACTCCAGTGCAGTCCAGCAGAGACCGACTAAAGACGATTGAATCTGCAGCGCGCGCAAGCGAGCAAGCGGCATTGTCGGCATTCGTAGATAAAGTGCGGGAAGTTGTCGTGGCACTCTTCGCACTGATGAGCGCCTTTGACACGCTTCCAGTTGTCGTGGTCACACTCGTGGTCTTCCTGGAGGTTCTGTGCCACTTGTTGAACTTCCTGCTCGGGTGGGGGGTCGGCTCGATCTCGACCGGCAACGTGTCGAGCTCGGAGCAACAGCCTTCTCTCATCCCAGATCGCACAGGTGCACAGTTTCCAGGTAGAGCCGCAGACATAGCAGAACTCGTACCTACAGCGACATCTGTGGAAAGAGAGATATCATGAGTGTGAGCTATGTGACAAGCGGAAAGCCATAAGAAGAATAAGGGCTTTGACCTACGTGATATGGTTGCATCCTATTCCCAACTCGATGACATGGCTGCATCGGGCACAGCGCTGCCATCCCTGCTCGGCTGCAAGGTTTAGAATAGTCTGGTCTTCAACCTGGTCATTCTCGCACTCGGTCCCTGCATGTGCGGGCCGTTTACAGAGAGAGCAAGTCTCTTGTTGACAGACCTTGCATGTGCCGATGTAGCCGTGCACCTGATATGGCATCAAGTACTGACCGCAGCCCGCTCTGGAGCAGTAGGTCTTGTACGGATCTTCCCTCTCAATCAATTTGTCCTCCAGCTGCTTGGCCTGTCGATGGCCCAGATGATCCTGGAGCGTCGAGGGGGGAATCGGCAGACGGCAGCAGCGGAGCGGCAGCAGCGACTCGTCGGCCAGTGCCTCTCTGACTAGACGTAACACACAAGCCTTACAGTACTGATGCGAGCACGGTGTCTGCATCATACTCTTCAAGGGCTGTTCCTCCAAGCACGCAACACACTCAGCCGCGCCAGTGTCATCCAAGGGGGGCTTTGCGGCGGTTTTGGAAGACAACCCAGCGCCGTATCCGAGAGCAGCTGCAGTGCGGGCGGGTAGCAGAGAGGAGATGTCGGCCCCATCTATCTGTGCCAGGATCCTGGTGGCCTCCTGGGTCTGTTGCGTGGCTAGACGCTGGGCTGGCTGGTGCTGGGCCTGTTGCGCCTGGTTCCCATATCGAAGAGCGAGCGTTCGGTCGGCGAGTGCCCTGCTCTCCTCCTGCGCAGCTAAGGTGAGTGCCAGGCGGTCGTCGTAGGTTGCTCGATCGATGCTCAGGGCCATCTGG